AAGGGAAAAACCATGAATCAAAGTGATACATACCCCGCATGCCTATTTCTGATAAGTAAGTTGTCTATGACTCTTCAAGTATTTTTAAATTTGATAGATAGTTAATTTTTAAATTAAGGATTGTAATTTGATAGATAGTTAATTTTTAAATTTCATATGTGTCATTGAAACGCTACTTAAAAATCAGAGTAATTATTATTTTAATAAGTAGTAAATACAAGAAAAGTTAATCAATGAGGATGCAGCTCGGTTAATTAAGAATATTTTTCATCACACTGATGTCTCAAGTTCAAATTACACTCTTTCAACATCATTTGTATAATAAAATACAAGAAAAAAATTAAGAAATTAGAACTGTTCAAATTCTTATTTTTACTCTTAAGGGAAATATGTAAATAGTTTAATTTTATCTGGCTTATAAGAAAAGAAAGAAAATGAGAAAAAGAGGAGGAAACGGCTCCCAAATTGCAAGCCCCACACAGGCACTCTTTCACGCCAAGCACCTGTTGGCTGTTGCCTCCTCTCGCATCAATATTATCACATTTTCACATGTCCTGCTTTCTCTGCCGTTGCATTTTGTTGAGGAGCCCTTTCTGACTTTGTGAACCTTTCAGCTGTGTTTGAGTTGTGAGTTGTGACCCCCCACCCCCCATAAAAATTTTAAAACAAATTAAAATAATTTTTACTATTTTTTGATTGCAAACCATATTACTATTTTCATTGTAAATTTATGCGAGTATAAATTTGGACAGTTACTGTATACGAAATCACTCTAGTAGATTTCAAATATTCTGACTCACTGTACAAGTTTTATTCCTATAATTATGTAATTTAAATAAATAAAAATGGACAATTAGTGTGATTACACAAGACATGGAGCATGGCACAATACAATGGAGATATTTTTTAACGTGCCTGGAGTACAAAGCGTAACACTATATGTTTTTACATAACTGGTGGAACACTTAAAGAAATAAAACATTTCACCACTTATATAATGATATATAGTTTACGACTCGGTGTTTCGAACACACAACAAAATTTCTCGACGCAATGGGGTCTCATCAGTTTGATGAGTTTAGATTTTGTTCACCTTCCTAAAGATCTGGCTTTTGGAGCTTTTTGTAGAGGAGTACGAATTTTGACTGACTATTTGGGGACACTCTGTTTCCAATCTCTCACAGTTGATAGTTGGTCGAAGAAAAAACCACTTAAAAGGGGAAAACAAAAATCAATATTTTGGGTAAGAGGCAATAATAGCGCACCCAAATTGAATTTTACCAGATGGGTCATTTAATTATTTTGTCGGTTCAATTTTAGGGTTAAATGGGTAATATGGCTGATTTGGTGGTTGATAAATTTCAAGACAGTAAGGGCTGGTTTTTTTTTTTTTTTTTTTTTTTGGAAGTGTTTAATAGACTAGCGTTTCTATGACTCATAAACGATTTTAAGTTTTTGCCAAACGTATAAATGTTTTTAACCTTTACAGGAGTAGTCTCAAACTAATCTGAAGGTTTTTTTTTTTTTTTTTTAACTAATTTAAAGGTCTTCCACAGTGATCTAAGTGAGTTTAATTTATATATATATATATATATATATATATAATTGTAAATAAACTCAATTTTCTAGTATACTGTGAAACACTTGAATTTTTTGATAAAAATACACATATGTAGAGTCAGGAAAATTTTTTTTATCGTGTTTTATAAAAAATTTGTAATTAGTTCCATTCATTGAATATTAATTTGGCTTTTTGCCCTTTAAGAGACACCAGGAGGAGGCTTTATGTGTTGATGTGTGCATCGTAAAACTTTGCTTAAGAAAGAAAGAGGTGTGAAAACAAAGAACTATAATTTATAAATGTCCCAAATAAGTATCCAAGCAAGGTTCTCTCTTCCCCTCCAACTTCTTCTTTTTATAAAATCCTCCTTGCCTACCGTTCATATCTCAATCGTGGGCCTCTTCCTTTTTCTTACGTTTTGTTTTTGGTCCCCCTGCTTTGGTTTTTCTCCTCTTTCTGTCTTGCCCCTTCAAAGCTATTTCAATCGGGCTAGGATTTTCTCCTTCTTTTTTTCATTCTCTTCCATCCCTTTCTCTGACATTCTCTATTTTATCTTTTTCTTTCAATAAAAAATTAATATAAGATGTTAACGTGGTTTAATCGTAACCGTTCAAATAGAAGGAAAGAAAGAATGGAAGAGAATCCTACTCTATTTCAATTTGTTTTATGTCTTGCTTCTAGGGTTATTATATCATTTTACGTGTTGTAATTGATATAGTTAATATGTTCCACTTCTAAAGTATGTTAAGTGGAATAGTAACGCCCACATATTTCCGTTCAGAATCTACCGAACAAGAGCTATTTGAATTTGCTTATGTAATGAAACCCATCACTAATTATTAAATAATATATCTTAATTACTAATGAGATAAGATTTGACGATTCCTCCACCACGGAGAATATTAGAAATTTTTGGTGCTTTTGAGATGGCGAAAACTTGGACAGGCTAAAAACCCTAGCTACGGTACACGTCAAGGGGGCTTTGGGTCAGTCCAGAAGAATATTTTTGATTAGTCCATATTAATATAATTAGGTTTCGATTATGCATCAAAATTCAAAACCAAACCTAATGAGTCGTGCAATTTCACGCTTGCAATAAACAAAATTTGCTTCAAGTTAGTGGAATAATGTGATGAGATTCAAGTTGTGGTGGTTGTTGGCAAGTATGCATGTATAGGACCAATATTTTGCAATTACTCTCTCATATCTTTTTTACTCAATTTTTCAAAGAGGTGGGTACCGTACCAAGATAAACTTGGATAAAGTTATCGTACCGAGTCCTATTCAGGCAGCTCTCTTGTTGAATAAGATTAACTTATAAGAGATTTAATGCTTTTATTAGAAGTGACCTTATAAACTACGAAGGTACAAAACCAAAGAACTTATTTTGGATAAGATGATATTCTAAACTACGAAGATATATGAACTTGGATGTAAAGAAACACTCATCGTATGTGCTAACCAACAAACCTAACCCACAATTTGGTTTTTCGGTTATGTATTTATTAAATCAGATTTATTTAAGGGGAACAAAACCCACGATCACTAGGGTTGCAAATAACACAAATTCATCAGGTGGTGTGGGCATATGGGCCAAGTTGGGAATCGAATGGGGGATAATAATAATAATGCACATGGGAAAAGCTTTTTAAATTTTCCCCAAGTTTTGCATATGAACGAACACATGAAGATAGGCCTACTGGTGGGAGCTGTTTTAATAAGTACTTTTTCATTAAGTGCTTTGGAGCTGAGGGAGCAAGATTGCCACATAGCAAGCAAATGAGTTTGCGATACGCAATTAAATTTTCTCAAGACAAAATGATGAAAATTGCTCCAAATTAGCACACAAAAAGGAAACACAGATTGCACATTGTAAAACCAAACCACTGGAATTAAACCAAATAATTTGGCTGTGTAGAGAGAGCATGCCGGTGCTTTTTGGCGGTAGATGGGAAATTGACATATCCAAAAAATATCCAAAGAAAAAATAATAATAAGATGAGAGGTGAATCGGCATTCCACAGAGGTCCACTTGCAAAATTTAGGGTCAGAAGCAATCACCAAAATTGACCTGTGAGGCTGATTAACAAATGCAACTTCCTCCCAATAAAATGTGAATAAATCGCAAATTAATTGGCACTACCTATTTGCTCTTTGTCAGCTTTTATCTTGAACAACTCATGGTCCGGACTCCTACCAAAAGTTGGTTACTAATGAATGTATTTATTTACCAAACAACCCATGTGTTTTGATTCAATAGCAATAGCGTATAGATGTCATCTTTCAAGAGAAAATCCACTTAATTAGAGAAATCAAGATTTATATCGATAATCATATTGACACGATATCAATTATCAATATGTCGATATATATTATTGATATGTAATATAAAATTATTGATACGAGTGTTGACATGAATTATGTTTCAATTATAATTTAGCGGAGTCGTCGTGAAAAGATCTGATATGACTATAACATTTATCAATACATGCGTTTGTTTTAGAAGAGATTCGTTCAAAGTAAATAAAGAAGACAATAGTATTTTTCCATAATTTCACAAAACTGTTACGGAAATTGGTCAAGAATTGAATGGTAAAGCCAAGTAGACATGTAGCTGGTTTGTCTTTCAAAGTACACAATCCCCAATTTCAAAATACACAATCCCCAATTTGTTTTTATGGGAACTTAAAACAAAAACATCTTTTCTCAGCTACTGCAGCACTGTCTCAGCAGCATATGTGACACGAATTCTCACGCATTCAAAATGGCTTAATTTTGAAAAAGCATTTTAAATGTTTTTAAAATTCACAAAAAAAATTTCTAAAAATACTTTAAATCATTTAAAAAACTGCTCAATTGAACTTTTATCGTTCATACACTTTCGTTTATAAGTGCTTTTAAAAATTGAATGCTTGTATTAATTAAAACTCCAAGTGCGCTTTTAGGTCATAGAAGCGGTTCGAAAATTCTCGGCCCAACCTTTAGTTAAAAGTGTTTTTAGTGAACAGAAAACAATTATCCATATTCACAAAGAGAGTGTTCAAATGGCCCTAAGAAAATCATTACAGGGATATGAATTAGTCAATAACATCCAACAGATATTTTTGTTTCTTGAATGGGGTCTGAAAAAAGATTTCATCCGAAAGCCCAAAGGAAGCCCCCAAAACAGCAATAGCCAAGGTTGAACAAAGAAACAGGTACATGGAAACAAAAACCAAAGCTGAAAGCTAACAGCAAAGACAAGAGAATCCAACCAGAAGGGTCTCACACAGACATAGAAGGGTTAGAAACACAAAGCTTCTTAGAGAACAGAAGATGAACAAGACGGACAAGCATATCAACAACGAATGAAACCTCCCGCAAAATGACGGAAGTCACGAGAACAAAGTAACATATATATGAATTCGAGCAATTATAGGAAATGTGACATGATTGGAGGTTATATAAACGAGCTTAATTTCTGCATAGCAAATTATCAAATGAATGCCATCATTAATGTCGGAATATCTTAAAATCCCAGGAATGAGAGAGAGAGATAAAGGAAAAACAGAATCAGAGAGCGTATCTCGCCTTGCTAAGGGAAGGCGCAAGACAACGGAAAGACCTAGCCTTTCCGCAAGTTCAAAGTATCCGAATGTAAATACAAGACAGCAGGATTTAAACCCACTGAAGCAGCTGATAGTAAAAGATTCGTTATCGGATTTACCATCATCATACATATTAGTCTTTCTTGTTCCGGTGAAGCCCTTGCCAATTTTTAGGCACAAAGCAAATCTGCATCCCCAAATGAAAGCAAAATGAATATTTCCTCGCATGGACTGAAATATAATATGTAGAACAATATATATAACTATTACCTTTACAGGGGTTGGTGCCCGCCATTCATCTCTCTCCACTTCATAATCAACAGTATACTAGATCCGTTAATGTTTCTTAAAGGGTTTTCAGTACTTAAACCCTTCTCATCATCTGTCGTGCATTTAAACAGTGTATGAACAGTTGTCTCAAGTGAAAATTTAGCACCTCAGTAATTTAGCCTGAAAATTAGGTCGATTCCACCTCTTTGAGATCCAGTCTTCAAGACCCCCTCTAATAAGAACGATCCAGGATGCTCAATCAATGAGATCATCCAACTCTATAAAATCTCCCTCCATAATGCAAAGGACGTGCTTGGCTGCCAAATTATCAAGCAATATTGGATTACTACCACCAAGCACAGATTCTGGCACCTGCACCGAAAGAAATCCAAATAATTTAGAAGAAAAAATTATAACTTAAAACAGGATAAGACGAAGCATGTAATGTAACAAGACATCTTTCATATATACTTAGAATCAATAGTACACTAGTATACACCAGTAGTAGAAATTCAAAAGCCGCCACTGTCTTATAAACTTCAGACAACAATTTTGAGACACGAAGTGCATTAAATAACAAAAACAGGAAAGTTATGAGGATTGTGAAATGACAGTTTTGAGATTGTTAAGACTGCAACAATAGGTTTTTGCTTTTTCATCTGTTTGGAAGCATGTGGATATTTCTGACTGCAACGTGCAAACCTATCACAAAACAGCATCAGAAAATGTCTGATGCTAATGAAAGACACTGCTTCCCAACAGAAAACTATAATTATTAACTTCTTAAACATATCACAGTAACGAACTTCACAACTTTCTAGGCAAAAAACTAAGAAGACTTGGATAAAAATACAGGATGTCCTTTTGATCTAAAAAATAAGGCAGAGTACCATTGATGTAACGGAATGAAAAACGGCGTAAATTATTGAAACAGTTAGGATATATCAACAATGGATAGATGAATTCTATTGAGCAGCTATGTAAGATTCTGTTGTTATTTAAGTATAGAATATCATGTATGTGCAGGATGAAAGTAGCATAACAGCTGTAGCACAAGAATTTGTTTAAGGTGCCTTTACCTGTTCATTAGGCTGAATTCTTGATATAGAAACAGGCCCTGTCATGACTCGATCATCAAGCTCTCGGTCCAGCCTCAATGGATATTTTGACATCTCGTTCTTCCTAGGCACAGAAGTGTCACCATGCTTTTCATTTTCACTGATAGTGGGAGCATGAAATCCATCATGCTGAATTCCAATGTGACGAACAGTGCAAGCGCTTTCTTCAGCACAAGAACTTAAACCATGATCTGAAATTCTATTTCCACTACCAGATCTGACTATACGGCACAGGACAAAAGCAGCCTGCACATGAACAGACATGACATGTTATGTTACTCATGTGCAAACACGCGATTATATTTAGAACCGTGCAGTAATGACTAAAGGGTGTATCAGTTATATGCCACAAGGTACAATGCTCGATCAGATACAAAGCTAGACCATAGTTCAACATCATGAAGAATAAATTTGCAAAAGCGAGTTTCAACACCTACACTCCTAGTCACATCTCACCGTGTCCAAACAAATATTCGTCTATGCTTAATTGCTTACACAGCCTATTGGGTTCTAATGAGACATTTCTGATAACTAACGTACTTGGCAAACAAACTCAATGGACATGGAAAATTATTCGTTCAACTCAAACATTCAACAATTTAATCAAAGAAATAAAAAAGCAAAAATTGCCCTTTCCCTAGCCAACCAGAATCACGCAATATATGACACTGATACAACAATAACAATAACCAAATTATACAAAACAAGAACAAATATAACAAGAATTCTACAAGAATTTCAAACCCTAACGCAATGCTCCTTCATCCAAACCGAAAGTTGAAAAATCGACAATGTACGAAAATTACCTTAACATGATCGACCTGAGCATACTGATAGAGAACCCAATCAGTCCTTACGGCGTCGTTTGGCGAATTCCCCAAATAAAACACAAAGCTCGACCTCCTCCCCAGAACAACCTTCCCTCCACCACCCAACACGTCCCTAACCCTCCCTTTCCTCCGCCAATACCCGCTCTTCGCCCTCCTCTCCTTCAAAACCCTAACCGTGTAGCAGAACCAGTGCCGCTTCCTCCCTCCGTGGCCGTAAGAATAGCAAGCGCTCTCCGGCAGCTCGAAGGGATCGTGTTCGTACAAATCGAGCTCTCTGATCAAATCGTAGCCGCCCGATTTCCCCGCCTCGGAGGCGTTCTTGCTGGAGAGGTAGTCGCAGAGGAGCTGCTCATCCGAGGGGTAGAATCCGCAACCGGGAGCCAGCGAAAGCAACGACGTCGCTTTAGGATCTCCCATGCGTAAATGGAGATCGTCAGCTTGTTCTAGGGTTTTCGGGAATTTCCGATTCGAGCTGCGGAGGTTTTCGACTGCGAAGAGGGGTTTACGAAACGGGGACTCTGGGGTTTATCAGGTAAATGAAATAGCGTACCCCTGAAGCTTTCATGTGCCGGCCTTGGCGATCCGGTGCGGCTGAGGTGTACGTGCTCCCGCGCATTTCAGCCATTACGATGGCGCCGTGTTTTTATTTGGATTACGTGGCTGTTGAGAATGAAACGACATGTCGTGGGGGTGGCGGTCGCATGGTCATAGTGGGAAGCCAACCGTTCGACATTGCAAATTCCAAATCCGAACATTTTGTAAGTTTAATTATTGGTCGCATACGTACGAGGTGTGACATATTTTGCACGACGGGCACGTGGCGGTCAAAACTCCAGCAAGGTAGGAAAAGAACAAGTATTTCCTAAAAGTGTGTCGGCTGTCGTGGTCAGTCAACATGTCGTTTTGCTTTGACAAAAATTTGTTTGTTATTCTAAAAATTGGTGAATGACGGAATTGTCCAACGCAAGAAATGCTCTTCAAATTTGGTATTCCGAAAAGAAAAGGGGAAATTTGATAGAAATTCATTTTTTGGAGCCAATCGTAGAAACAGTCAAGTTTATTAAAATAAGTTCAATTTGTTAAATTTAATTATTTTATTTCATAATTATCTCTTTAATGATCAAATTTATCATAAAAAATATTCTTCCTAATTATCTTGTCAATTATTTATTTTTATTTTGTGGTTTTTGTTCATTCTTGGTCTTCCTCATGCTATAAACTTTTTTATTTTTTATTTTCATAATCAACTCACAGGTAATTATATTTATATGCCTATATGATATATATATTTTTTTATATTATAATATCACAGATTTATGTATCTTGTTTATATGCAATGTTCCAAAAGATGTTATGCACTAGGCGGGCTAGGGCCTAGTGCCTAAGTGGACTATACGGATTTAAGTAAACTGATTTTATATTGTATAGAAAATGCCTATTTATATTTAAAAAACACATATTTGTATACATAAACTGCAAAATAAAATGACATATATAATAAAGTATTAGAACATAATGAAAACATGGAGAACAAACATATAATGAGTGGTCATCCAAGTAGAAAGTTATTGATTTTCTATCTAAGTGAGAGTCACGACCTAGGTGGGTTTAGAAGAGTTAGGTGGACGAGTCTAAACCCAGTTTCTTAATTTTCAAATGCCTACGGACTAATCGGGGTGATGGTCAACCGCGTAGCGCAACACTGCTTATAGGTATATTATGTTTTTCTACCTTTTAAGTAGTTAGATTTCACGTCTCGCTTATAGGTATACTACACATTTATATATGTGTTACTTGAGTAGGGTTGTACGTTTTGCAAATGAATTTGTGTTCGTATGTTTTTTTTTTTTTTTTTGTTAGAAGATATTAAGTGAATTTTAATTTCTTTAATTTTTTTTTTAAATAAAACAAGGATAAAAAAAAATAAAAGTGAAGAAAAGATAATAATGGAGTTAACCTATTTCGACAAAAAACCTAATAATCATGTTGATTTTTGGACACAAATCTAAATGTTTCTTTCTCCACTTCAATTCAATCTTGACATGTCATTGTCAGCATGTTTTTTTTTTTTTTGGGAAAACCTCGGCGGCACGAGGTAAATATATAGATAAGAAAAAAGAAATTACACTTAGTCGCCGGGGGGGGGACAAAAACCTTACCCCTCATAAAACGAGAACGATAAGGCTTCGATTTGACAACATGTTATTTTTCTTTGACATCAAATTTTTCTTTCTCCTCTTCAAATCAATCTACTTACACAGTATTTGGTAGGTGGGAAGGAAGGATACAGGAAATAGAGGGGGAAGAAAAGTGGAGGGAAATATATTTTAAACAGATAATATAACTAGTATCTATCTAAACTAACACTAATTAATGATTTAATTGATCATGGTAATAGTAAAGTGAGAGTAATGTTGTTTCCCTTTTCCATATACACCTTATTCAAGCATATCCTTGAAATATTATCTATTTTATTTCTCCTAATCCACTTTTCTGTCATTTTTACTACAAAGTTAAGCATATTTATGCTATTGATAAGCTCTTCTTAAGCATTGTGGACATGACTGATCTTTCATTTGCAGCATACAAATTTTGCGGTTGAGCAAGTCATGTGACTAATGATGTGATACAGAGGCAAAGTCCATAAACTCCTTGTCACATTCAAGAGCGCTCATTGCATCAGGTACAAGACACACCTCCATGTCCATGCTTCCTTCTTTGCGTCCTTCATACGATGATACTTTCCCACTAAACTTGTGTGCGTACCCACTTCGAAGTGCTACCGCTTTTCCCATTCCAAATACAGTTCCATACATGTTGAATCTTGGCGAACTCCCAATTGTCACACTCAATGGTTCAAAAACACTCACTTGGTACACGACGGGAGACTCCAGCCACGCATTAGTATGCTCTCGTATCACCTTGTCATTGTGGTTAACCACCGCCTCGTGCAACTTCCACGCTGCCCATCCAAGCCCATGTTCAAGCAGCTCACCCGCTGGAACCATTTTTGAACTAATGGGGTAAATTGAGTTCCCAAAATAGTCTCCGGACAATGGCGGGTCTAATCTCGCTCTGTTATTCGCAGCCAACCTGTAGTCATGGTATTCAATATTGATGTTACTGAAGATATTGAAATATCATTAAAAAAAAAAAAATTGATTGTAATGTACTAAATGAAAGATTAAATTTCGAGGATAATTATCGATATTAATAGACCATGCCTGCAGCTGGTTCCTTGATCAGGTGGTTGACAACGCGCTCGAGTAATGGAGCGCCAGAGAAGGGCAGATAAAGACTGGAAGGAAGAGATTTTGGTGGTGTCAGACTCCGCATTGGCCTTTGCTTTGAGTTTGGCTAGGGATTCTGCGGAGAAGTGAAACATTCTCTCCCTGAGTGGGGGAGCTTCAAATCTGCCAATGAACTCATCTGAGTGTTTGAAAGGGAGGCTGATAATTGGACCATGACCATCTGGAAACCAGCGCTCGAGGACAGGTGGGCGTGAGATAGTGGCTACAGAATTATTATCTCCTTGGGCTTGTGCTTGAAAAATTTCAGACCAAATGTTGAAGAAATGCCAGAACGAGGTTCCATCACCAAGGCAGTGATTCATGGATAGCCCTATGAAGATGCCATCCACAAGTTCCGTGACCTGAATCGTCAACAAAGACATGGTGTGCCCGTCATGGTTGACTGCCCTGTCATGATCAAAAAACGATTGGACCACCAACGGGACATCAATTGGCGAAAGAATGTCAGAGATTGACAAGTCCAAAGTTGCATATATGAATTTGGCTCCAGGGCTGTTGTTGCAATCTACATACACCAAATACAAAACCGGGTCCTCGGATTTTTTGGTCACCAAGCGACCTGCAAGTGGGTAGAAATGAACAAGCGCAATGGAAAGAGACTGCTTGAGTCTTTCCAACAGAGAATTGGTGAAGCTTTTCTGATCTAACATTGCTTCTGGTGGTTTCGAAAAGAGAAGGCCCCTTTGGATATAGTGTACAGAGAGCAACGCCAGATCATTTGGTGTCAAGTAGAACGGCTTCTTTGACTCTTCAGAAGCATGGTGTGGGTGGATAAAGCATTCTGAAATTTGTTTGACATTTTTGGAACTCATTTTCTGAAAGAATTTACTCAGTATCGTTTCGGTTTGCACGATGTGGCTAAAAAGTTTTGATTTCTTGAGAGTTCCTCTTTCCTTAGCTGATCTGTTTTTATGTGAAATTTCAGGCGGCAGCTTTGGAGTTTATGATTGTTTGGTGCAACTGTTAATTTGTCTCGTTAGTGTATGGAAAGATCAGAGGACTCAGTCAAGTTAATTTTTATAATACAAGCGATACTGTGGAAGGGGAAAACGAACACATGAGGCCGGGTGCAACGCATATTATTCAATTTGGTTGAAGAAAACAGATATATTCTTAAACTTGAAGATACCAACTACCATCTAACATTTGGATGTTGACTAACATTGACAGTGTATAGGTAATTATGTCTAAACTTTATTGTGAAAATTGTTTCATTCAAATCTTCTGAAATAAGCACTTATTCATGAAATATTCTTTTTCTGTTACATTTAATTTGCAGCATACAAATTTTGCAGATGAACAAGGTACGTAACTAATACTGCGGTACGGATGCGGCTTCCATGAACTCCTTGTCACATTCAAGAGCACTCATTGCATCAGGTGGAAGACACACCTCCAAGTCTATGCTTCCTTTTTCGCGTCCTTCATACGCTGAAACTTTCCCACTGAACTTGTGTGCGTATCCGCTTCGAAGCGCTAGCGCTTTTCCCATTCCAAATTCGTTTCCATACATGTTGAATCTTGGTGAACTCCCCATCATCACGCTTAGTGGATCAAAATAGCTTACCAGGTACACAGAGGGAGACTTCAGCCACGCATCAACTTGCCCTCGTATCACCTTGTCATCGTGGTTAACCACTGCCTCGTGCAACTTCCATGCTGCCCATCCAATCCCATGCTCCAGCAACTCACCTGCTGCAACAGTTTCTGATTTAACGGGGTGAATTGAGTTCCCAAAGTAGTCTCCAGACAACGGTGGGTCTATTCTTCCTCTGTTATTCGCAGCCAACCTGTATAAGGTATTGAATATCCATGTTAGCGATGGTTATCAAGCAATATGTGGACATTTTAAATGAAAGATGAAGTTTTGAGGATATGCTCAAGATATTAGACCGTGCCTGCAGCTGGTTCCTTGATCTGGTGCCAGACAACGCGCGCGAGTAATGGTACGCCAGAGAAGGGCAGATAAGGACTTGAAGGAAGAGATTTTGGTGGTGTCAGACTCCGCGTTGGCCTTTGCTTTGAGTTTGGCTATGGATTCTGATGAGAAGTGAAACATTCTCTCCCTGAGTGGGGGAGCTTCAAATCTGCCAATGAATTCGTCAGAGTGTTTGAAGGGCAGGTTGATGATTGGGCCATGACCATCCGGAAACCAGCGCTTGAGGACAGGTGGGCGCGAGATGTTGGCTACAAAATGATTTTGACCTTCTTGTGCTTGTACTTGAAAGATTTCAGACCAAACGTTGAAGAAATGCCAGAAGGAGGTTCCATCAACAAGGCTGTGATTAATGGAAAGCCCTATGAAAATACCATCCACAAGTTCCGTGACCTGAATCGACAGCAAAGACATGGTGTGCCCGTCATGGTTGACTGCCCTGTCATGATCAAAAAACGATTGGACCACCAACGGGACATCAGTCGGTGAAAGAATGTCAGATACTGACATCTCCAGAGTTGCATATATGAGTTTGGCTCCAGGGCTGTCGTTGCAATCCACATAGACCACATAAGAGGCTGGGTCCTCGGATTTTTTGGTCACTAAGCGACCTGCAAGCGGGTAGAAATGAACGAGCGCAACGGAAAGAGACTGCTTGAGCCTTTGCAACAGAGAATCGATGAAGTTTTTCGGATCCCGTTTTGCTTCTGGTGGTTTGGGAAAGAGAAGCCCCTTCTGGATATAGTGTACTGAGAGCATGGCAAGATCAGCAGGTGCCAAGTAGAAGGGCTGCTTTGACTCTTGAGGAGCATGGTGTGGCTGGACGAAGCACTCTGAAATTTGTTTGACGTGTTCGGAATCCATTTCCCGAATAAGATTCGCTCCCAGTATTGTTTTGATTTGCACAATATGACTAAGCAGCTTTGATTTCTTGATTGATACTTCATCTTTGCTTTAGCTGATCTGGTTTTTATATGTAATTGCAGGTTGCAGGTTGCGGCTCCTGGATTTATTATCGTTTAGTCCAAGTGCTGACGTTACCCATTACGTAGAGATTAAAGGACTAAGTCACGAGCTAAACATCAAGTCCTGTGATGCAAGTATTTATTTATTTTATACAAAGTGATTTTTTTACTAGCACACCAATATATTTTTATATTAAAAAAAAAATGAGTACGGTTAAAAAATATAATAAAAAACTTAATTTGGTATTAAATTTATCATCTACAATATTTGAATTTAAGAACCCTCACTTTAAAACGAAGAAAAATACAGTTAATGTGTGGCAATACAGGTGAGATTAAAGAAAGCGGAAATCAGCATATATTATTTCCTCTTCCTTCCCCTTTATTTGGTGAAGGTGGGTTAGACTTTTCGTGCAGGACTTTTTTACTCTCATAAATGTAACACAATTTCCTCTTCCTTTCCTTTTACCAACCGACAGGACAACGGACACTGTGGAAAAGTCGCATCTCTTTCCATTTATATTTAGAAATTTGAATAAAAAGCTTCTGGTACAGTTTAATTTAACGAAAAATCATACTTTTATATTAAAATATCGATTACAGTACTATTTACTTTACCTTTTATTTTGTCCTTATCGTTAAAACTCAAGTTTTCAAATCATTTTCATTAGTTTTCTTTTTATTTTTTCTCATGATGGACTTGCTAAGAAAAATTCCATCCCAAAAGGCTTTACGTTAGCACCCAGCCTATTTAATCCACTGAGTGAACAGTGATATACCCAAATGAACAGTGATAGACCAATGCATATTCATCTCTAAAACTAAATAGCCTAATCAATTTTATTAAAATATTATTAATTTTTATTATTATAAAATAAGAAAAATTAATAATTTGATTTTTAATTTAAACTCCCCAAAAACGCTCCTCAGACCAGAGCACGCCAACCCATCACCCCCCCCCCCCAACCAAATTTTATTAAAATATTATTAATTTTTATTATTATAAAATAAGAAAAATTAATAATTTGATTTTTAATTTCTGGGTTTCTCCCCAAAAATGCTCCTCAGACCAGAGCACACCAAACCCATCACCCCCACCCCACATCTCCACCCTCCATCAAATCCCCACCTCTCCTTCACTCTCTGCTTCGTCTCCACCACCCTCTACGGTCCGATCCGCCCCAAACCAGTCAACATCGATGCCCGGCCTCGCCAACTCCAAACCCGCCGCCTCTGAACCTACGCCCTGACCTTTAGCTGCATCGTCGAATTTGTATGTCATCATCCTTAATAGCTTCCAAGACCAGCTCATCCTTAACAGCAAGTTCCAGGTCGACAGCCTCGTCCTCGAAGGTAGCATCGTCCAATCGTCTTCCTCGTCGAAGATGGAGTTCATCATCACCGATTTCATATCATGACTTCAACCTGACGTCATGTAGGCCGGTCCCAAGGCCTGTCAACTTTGGGCTGGCCTGAATACCATCTTGAGCTGGGTGCCAGGCAATCCCGTGGGCTGAAGAAACTTCCCTAGGTGCCAAGTCATTTTTTTCGCTATGTGCCAGCCTATCCCACCCACAGTGGAAGTGCCCTAATGGTTTAATTTTCTTTTTACACTGATGTTTAGGATGAATCGGATGACAATTCCAGACATCACGAGAAATATAAAATGTCAAGCAATTAAACAAAACCATGACCAAGACATATGTCTAAACTCATTAACCAAAACCATGAAGCAAGCCAGGTAAATGTATCAATAGTGAAAATCCTAGAGCCCAATCAAACAAAAATTGCGGGAAAAATGAAGAAATCAAGTCTATGTTTCCAATTTCCAAAACACTACAATAACTCAAAACATCAAACGCAAACTTCTACCAAAGTCTTTCCGCGTTGTGAGAAAAACATCACCGGATGCCGTTCTTCTCATTCAAGAGACAATGAAGACAGTTGGTCGGCGCTGCTGTTAGCCTGCTGTTGGGCAACATTCCTCAGAACATCCATGGCCTCTGCGACCTTCGCCTTTAGAGCCTCTGGTGACTCAAGCAAATGCAAAACTTCGGTCTGGTCCATCTCCAAAAGCATGCCTGTCACCTTAGCTGCCGACTCATGCTCCAGCTGGTCAACGAGGGGATATAAGGCTTCACCAAGCATCTGCCCAGAAATAAGAGATAAATCAATAAGCAAAGCTCAGCAAGATCAATCCTAATGCATGTCACTTGTATAGTTTAAAAGAAGCAAAAAAGAAAAAGGGCTTACCGTCCTTTGCTGTTCAGTTGAGGCATTTGCAAGGGCAGTGGCCAAAGCCGGAACACCCTGCCCACCTGCAGCATCACGCATAGGAATGGCACCCATGTCATATGGGACTGGAAGCATACCACTTCCGACTCCAGAAAATGGAACTTCCTGCATGTTGCGACCAGGTGGATAGCGGTACACACGTCCCCTAGGCAGCATCTGAAACACAAAGGAAAATAGGAACATCAGAAACATGAGCAAACAAAATCAGTTCTCAACAATAGTATAGAAGTTGCATCTTTTCAACTAACATGCTGCTGCATCATTGGCAGAGGCTGTTGGTTTGGCTGCACTGGACCTGTACCACGTCGACCTCCTGGGCGTTGGCCCTGCTGACCCTGCTGCACCATTGGAACAAAGAAGTTTGGCATTGGTCCACCACCAGGCCTTAATCCAGGCACAAGCTGCTGTTGGTAACCAAATCCAGCCTGCATGGTTTAAAAAAAGAAACAGGTTGAGTAATCAAACATGAACAATAATCAAAAGAAAATCAACATAGAAAATGGACAATCATTACTTGTGGAGGAATTATCGCTGGAGGTGCTTGCCCGTACATAAATTGTTGCCCTAGACCCGGAGCACCAGGAGGGTACATTGGCATACCACGTGGAGCCACTGAAGGTGCCATAGCAACTGGCCTCATTTGCGAAAACTGAGCCTGTAAAAAAATATGTATTAATATAATGGTGAAAACAACAAATGGAAAAAAAAAGCTCCATCAAACTGCAGGGAACACTCCAAGTTGGTCATACCTGTAACCTTGCTCTTCTTTCTTCTTCCTTTGCGCAAGTGCAACATACAGAGGCTTGCTAACAACCATTTTGCCGTTCATCTCAGCAAGCTGGAAGTACAGAATTAAGCTAAATCACATGTAATTCACATAACAGGTTTCCTGGTTTTATTCGTTTAAACAAACTCAAAGAGTTAAACAACATACAGCTCGAGAAGCTTCTTCAGCAGTTGAGAAGGCAACGAAACCAGAACCTCTGCTGTTTCCATCAGGATCACGCATAACCTGTGAAATCAAAGAATAACATGTTAATTCAGATCCCTGCCAGCATAGCTAAAACTAACAAATCAAAGACGCATGTTCACCAACCTTGCACGAACTAACTGTACCATACTCCGAGAACAATTCCTTGAGTTTTTCATCACTGATGCTGTCATCCAAGTTCTTGATATACAAATTGACACCCTGAAACTTATCGCTGGCTTCCTTCATGCTCTGCTCAAATCTCTCCTTCAGTTCAAGCTCTCTCTCGTACTTCTTCTGAGCTTTCCCAACATACCACTCCTTCTCATCGATCTTCTTTCCATTCAAAGCTTCAACAGCTGTAGCAGCAGCTTCTGGATCCTCAAAGTTAACAAAACCAAAACACCTTGATTTGCCTTCCCCATCCCTCATCACTACAACACTGGTAATTTGTCCATGTTCACCAAAAATTTTCCTCAACTCATCCTCTGTTGTAGATTCAGATATATTCTTGACGTAGACATTGTTAAATTTTGTCTTATTCCAATTTCCGTCTCTCTCCTGCTTGCGGAGAAAGTGTCCTACAAACACTGGCTTATCATTAAGCAGCATCCCATTTAACTTATCTATTGCACTCTGAGCAGCTTCCTCACTATCAAATTGCACAAAACCATAGCCCTTTGACTGGCCAGTGGCATCAGTGGCTATCTTGCAAGAAAGAATATTTCCAAACGAAGAAAATGTCTCATGCAATGCTTTATGGTCAATTGCCTTGTCCAGATTCTGCATTCACCCAAAAGAATTAGCATAAGGCCGAAACCCATAAAGCAACACCATACTTCATAGAAAGGAGAGGAATCTCAGTAAAGTCTATCAAGAAAATAGCTACCTTGATAAATATGTTTCCGGTTCCACTCTTTCTAATACTAGGGTCCCGGTGCGAATACATAATCCTGATTGATTTGTTATTCAGTGGAGTGAAGTTCAGAACTTCCAGTGCCCTCGCAGCTGCATGGTTAAAAACGATAAAATCAAATGCAGCACATGTTGCGTAAAGTTCTGTTCGCGAAAAATTCAATACGCAAATAAACCCAATGTCACCATCAAAAATAGACAACTTCCAAAGTATTAACCCATCCTAAACGTGCGTCTAGTCAACCTAATTTGGCAAATTAGCATAAAACCCGGACATCGAAATCTCGTATTCAATGTAAATTCTCAAATCGCAAACTTAATAATCCATTTCGACTAATCCCAATAATAATCCAATCAAAAATTTTAATTTTCTCCAACATTCATATTAAAAACGCAAACTTTAACATGCAAATACAACATGCTACCAACAATTACCAAAAAATTAAATAATTCTAAGAACAATAAAGTCAAATTAATCAGAAGACTGACCATCCTGAGGACCGCTATAGTTGACGTAACCATAGCCAAGAGATCGGCGAGTGCTCAAGTCCCTGCAGACCCTCACCGACACGACCTGACCGACCTGGTTGAACAGATCGTACAGCTGCGAGTCGGTAACATTCTGGTCAAGATCCCCAACGTACAGCGACGTCGACACGAACTGCGGGGGGGCACCGCCGGCTGTTCGCCGCCACGCTGTTTGGGCCGCTCACGGGAGGCTGCTGCTGCTGCTGCTGAACTTGAATCTGAGCCATGTCACACCAAAATCACAAAACCCTGACCTCAAAATTTCCTTTTTTTTTTTGCAAACTCAAAGGACCGAAATTAAAAATTTGCAAAAACCTAAGGACCGGAAATGAAACTGCGACTGAATTTTTGGTTTTTCTGAGATTTTTGGGGATAAATCGTCCGGAATCCGAACCGGCACGACGGACGGAAAATGAAACAATTTATTTTTTTTGGGTTTTTGATGTGGAGGAGGGCAGAGTAAAAAGCTGCACCGCACCGGCTGAGGAGTCAACCGCTTCGCTTATATGGGGTGCGTCGGTGAGGGCGTGGCCTTTCGAAAACCCTAGTTTGCTTTTGGAGACTAAATACGGGCCGTCGGATCGGATTTTCGTGTCTTGATTAACGGATACAACGGTCAGCTGAATTTGTACAGTGACGCAGTGTTGGGGCATGTGACGCACCAGGCCCACGAAGTTTCTTATGTCATGACTGGTTTGGGTATGAAGTGCTTGTTCTTCTAGGCCCATATATGAGATAGAAGCCCAAAAATTACTACCTGTGTTGGAGTTGGGCTTGATAGACCTCTTTTGGTTGGTGTATGAATTGGGTCCTAACCCTACGCATTCTTCGTGAAGATTGGGTTGGACTCAAACAAATAACTAGACGTAATGAGAATATGTAGTTCTCGCATGGAATCCGAACTTTAAGACAATTGATCCAAAGGATAGGGATCATGGAAAGTGAGAAAGAATAGAGGGAAATGGTTGTTTTGTGTGGGCAATGGTCAATTGACTGCAATTGAAATACGTATGTTACTAAAATTGTTCCATTCAGTTTTGTCGAATAATGTAAAGTTTAACTTCACAATCAAATATAACAGAATACAACTTTTATTGAGCGGTTTAATAATTATTTGCACTGAGTTCTTTTGGGATAAAATATTATTGAGCTCATATGATTTTGCGACGAGCGTAAGTGGTGGATTGTTCCAACATTTCTCTTCTATGCCCTACATTTCGAGTTCAAACCCTCCCGTCTCGTCTTAGAATAATTTAGGTACAAATATCGTTCGTATAAAAATATTGATGAAATTGAGGTTCCACCACAAAACCAATTGGCAATATGGGTAGTAACCCAATATCATATAAGCACATATAGCAAACATTGTCTCTCACCGATGTGAGACAACTCTCAACACGCACTCGTACGTGTGGTGGATTTTTAAGCCTACACGTGGACAACAACTAGGTGACGTGGAACGCGTGCGGCCGTTGGGCTTCACGGGTGGACAACCTTGCTCTGATACCATGATGAAATTAAGGTTTCATCATAAAACCAATTGGTAATATGGGTAGTAGCCCAATATTATATAAACACATAACAAACATTGTCCATCACCGATATGAGACAATTCTCAATAAATATAATAGACAGTTGGACCGGCTCATTAAATCATTTATGAGTTGTAAAATGCGACACTTGGTACGTATACATCAGACACATGCATGAAGATGAATCGTGCAGCCAGCACGACAAGTTCATCAATAATCGGTGCATGACTAGTCAAATTATGCGGTCGTGATTGGACTGAATCACCGCAGTAATACTACATATTTCCGATCAGAAGTTTCTTTGAATATAAATGATATTTTGCCCAGATGGACACAGTTTTTGGGATATTCTCTCTTTTGATGCGCAAACAAAAGTTGATTGGCATAGTCAACTATGAGATACTGATATGATTGCCATATATATGCGTGGCCCATCAAATCTATCGTAGTAGCATCTGCGCGGTTGCATGAAACAAATTCATGTAATAATGTTAGACTGTAGGGATGTGATATTCATACATCCTTTTTTATTTTTTTTACATTTGTTTAATTTTTTATCGTTGAATCAGATGAATTGAAAAAGATTAACGAATATAAATTAAAAAATAATGTGTGAGAAGTAAAAATCAAGTGTGTGGTAAAAAATGATGTGTGGATCACACACCCCTACATAGTATTGTGTTGGAGATAACCTACTTAATTAGCGCGCGCACACACATATCACATATATATTCAAAAGCCGCTTGCATGCATGCACAATACAAACTCTTTGTTTGGTTATATACGGTGATCATAAAGCTCCATTTAATAACAAAGTTGTTATAATTCAACATTTTTTTTTCTTATTTAATTTGCAAATTACCATTTTCAAAGTTCTATTCACCATATTCAAATTCTTAAAGAAATTCAAAGTATCTGTCTATTTTAAGAGTTTGTCAAGTATGGACTGGAGTGTAGTATGCATCGAGATATTGGTCGGATCCTTAGCCATTGGATCTTTGGTTGCAAACTCAGTTGTTCATCATCCACTTGATCCATACTATTAGATGGTCCATTCCAAAATTCTCGCTAGTTCAAATCGCTTATGATCTATCATTCTTCCCTTCTTGTAGTTAATCGCTTGCCTACAGTTACGAAATTCCCACTCCTACCTAGTTCCACTAGCTACTAGGGGTGGGCATTTGGAACCGAAAATCAAAACCGAAACACGAATCGAATTGGACCGCACATAATGGTTTGGTTTTGCGGTTTTGAAATGGTTGCAAGTTTCGAAACCAAACCGCGACAAAGAAAACGGTTTGGTTTCGGTTTTGGGTTTTCGAAACCGCACCATATATTGAATGTTATGTTTTAATTAGTTCAACTACACTAGTCATCCAATTTTGCACCACTATTCAAGTTCATACATGATACATCAGTCTGTCTCTCTCTTTCTCAAAACTCATCTCCATCTCTCTCTCAAAACTCATCTTCATCTCTTCCACAGTCGACATCAGTGCCCTCGGTGCTTGCATCTTTGCGACCTGGCTGCTTGCATCTCTACGACCTCACTGCTTGCATCCCCAGATCCCCTTCATCCGCAAGCCTTGAACTCTGGAAATCAAAAGCTCTACAAAACAGACTCGGTAAATCATTCACCTGCTCTTCGTTCTAGCTAATATGGTAAGAACTTAGAACTTGCATTAGTTAGTTTAGTTAATAATTTGTAATTAAATTAATTTTAGAGTTAGGGTTCGTTTGAACCAAAGATTCAATAGGGGAACTAGGTTAGGGTTTATAATTAATTTTAGGGATAGGGTTTGTGAATCAAAAGGGGAACTAGATTAGGAACTACCCAAGTATCAATTTAAGTTCTAAATTATTAATTTCTTTAGGAACCACCCTCCATTGTTTTCACCTGCTTCTTTTTGAATTTTATTTTCTTTATTTACTCACATCCTCATACTAGTTCGTATTTTACTATACTACCTTGATTTGTTTGAAACTTTGAAGTTTGAACTTTAGTTGTATTATGGCAAATTTAACTTTTCAATTAGGTTGGAGTAAAGTATTGTGATTGGTGATCAAGTTGAATTTTAGTAGATGTGATGCGTAAGGATTTAAACCCATTGATCCATTGGATTTTGTCTCAATTTTAGTAGTTGTCATTTGCTGCAGTTTTGGTACAGGTTTGCTGCTGTTTTTTCATTTTGCGCAGTTTTTTTGTTGCTGTTTTTCTGTAGTTTTGCTGCTTTTTTATGCTTTTTTTTGCTGCTGTTTTGCTGCATTTTTTATGCAGTTTTGCTCCATTTTTTTTTGTTTTTTTTTTGCAATTTTGCCGCTACATTATTGTTGCTATTTTTGCTGCAGGTTCATTAATTAATATATGAGGAAAATAAGACCGTTTTATGTGTAAATAGGTGTATATTTTAAGTTGTACATTTTTTTTTCAAAAATCGAACCGAAACCATTTGAAACTGCACCGAACCGAACCAAACAGTTTGGTTTTATTTCGATTTTGGCTTCAAAACCGCACCGCACCGCAAAAAGTTTCAATTTCTGTTGCGGTTTCACTTGAAACCGCACTTAACTGCACCGCGCCTCACCCCTACTAGCTGCAGTGTCTTTAAAAAGAAAAGAAATACGGAAGGCAATGATGAAAAACTAATAATAATGCACGTCTCTTAATAATCAATGATAATGATAGGACAACTTTTATGAAAGTCATATAATTGGTGGATTGCATTAATATACTTTTTTGACATTGGCGCTAGAAGGCATTTCTCTTTCCCAATTTGAATTGCAAAGATCCAGATGAAAGGAGACGTTACGACTTACCACTAGGGTTAAGAAGAAGAAGTAGAAGTAGGTACGTGGACTTCAGTGTCCAATCTTAAGCAGGCTTCCCGCTTTTAACCTAAAAAAGCTTCGATTCAACATTTTAGGTTGCTCTAGTCAAAATAGTGACATCAACCACCACCATCACAGATAGAGATAGCTTGGAATAAAAGTGCTTTTGGTTCAAAAGGTAGAAGTTGAAGCATGGCATTCAGTACAAATTAAGAGACAATTGCTTGCCTTTCTTCTTTCCCGAAATAAGAAAAGAAGGAAAGCACATGCCAGTGTCAAATAAGCAGATCTCATCATCTTCTTCCTTCTGGATGTAATGGAAAGAGCTCCAGAGTTCTACCTCCCTCAATGGCGTCGTCGTTGTCGAGCTTACATACTACACTACTTGTACTACTACTATGATCACCTTCTACCAAGCAATCAAATTCCCAGCTCCTACCCTTTCTCTTGTACGGATTATCTTCCTCTCTTTCCACCACTACTTCTCCCAGCTGCAAAAACAAAACATATAAAATACGTAAGTTGGATGAATATTCAAAATAAAAATATAAAGTAAAAACAATAACCACCTTTTTTTTTGTTACAAAGGAAGGTTTTAGACCTTGTATATATCATCTAGCCTACTCCTACCCATCCCCCTTTCCACATTTATTACCGAGTTAACCCCAGAGGCTGAACTAATAAACTTCATTTTATGACTAAATAGGGGTTACTTACGGTGGTAATTACAGAAGTCGGTGTTCTTGGAGAGTGGCTGAGGCCAAGGCTGCTGCGTTTTTGCTTCTGCCTCTCGCGTGCCTTGTGATTCTGGAACCAGTAAAACACATTCTTGCCTTCGATCTTGCCGTACTTGCCAAGTTGAGCCGTGATTTGCTCTATTTGTTGTGCATTAGGAGTGCGCATTCCTCCTCTATACAACATTTCTAGTATCCCTATCTGTTCTTGCGTAGGGTTCCAGCGTGTCCCTCCTGGGTGCGTCTCTACCTGCACCATCTCAATTTTTCAGCACACTCATTTTATTCTCCTTACCTTAAGGTCGTATATTAAGTATGCAGATGTTCTATTGTCAGACTGTTTATATTGCCTTATGAATGACAGTTTATTAAACTGAATATGAACAAACTTTACGGTTTAAATTCACAGTCTAAGCACCTGTTTGTCAAACTAGTTATGTTCAGGTAACGTAGGTGTTGAGGGCATGCAAGCAATGTATGATTGCATCATAAATTTAGCATATATGATATTTTTAGTACCTGAGGGTGAGGGGAATCTTTCTTCTCCTGAAGCTGGTTAGAAGATCCAAGTTTTCTGGGGCCACTTTCAGGTCTGATGAAACTCTTGAGATCGAAAGGAGCGAGGGTGGTAGTAGTGTCGGAGGTGGCGGCCGTGTTGGCCAGTCTGGGAGCAAGAGGGCGTAAGCGTTTGGTGCAGCCAAGCGTGAGGGAGGGTTCGTGTTCCCAGAGTCCACGTGCGAACTGATGCACCTTCATGCTGCTCATTCCCATATGTGGTGAGTGGAGTACTGAATGACAGAGCCTTGGAGCCAGATAGCATGTAATTATATAGGAGGGCCGAAAACGAAGATCATGATCAGTGTTATTAAAGTGACAAAGTGGGAAATGAGGTGGTGTTTGGAACAACCAAGACCAAATGATGAGGTGCGGTTGACTTGAGATTTTCCACACTAAAAATATGAAAAGATAAAGCAAGAAAAAAGAGAATGTTGTGTGTGTGAGAGAGAGAAAGCGAGAGAGATGTTTGCAGGAGACTAATTAGTATGTGATGGTAGATAGGGAGAAATTTAATTTTCATAGTAATAAATTATTTGTTTCGTGAAACACGATTAGGTAATATAATTAATTTTCTAATCGTAATATAAGCGAATACTAAAATATATACCTATTATCACCATATTCTAACATGCACAATATAGGTATATAAAAACTGTTGTGTTCTAGTAATGCACAATGGTTTTTCGTTATTCTAATAGTGCATAATAATTTTCTTTTGTAATTAGGAGTTTATAGGTTTGTTGTTATGTTACTGTTAGTATCACACAATAATTTTCTGTAGTAACAAACGTGTGGGTGTGTGAGTGTGTATGTGCGTTCGTGTTGGCCCGTCAGATCTGGTCATTTTTTTCTTGCTTTCATGATAAGGTGTCCATGCTTTTCGGTGTCCTTCTTTGGCTTTGGCTCTCTCTCCAGCTTTTCCACAAAAAAAGCTAGCCAGGAGGACAAATCTAATCAGAGGAGGGAGAATAATAGGATTCCTCCAATCGCAAAACTTGAATATGGGAACTACCCTCTGCCCTTTGCCATTTGCCCCCTTTCTTTTTCAAGATACGAATCATTTAAATATATACTTGTGTTTTGTGAATGCTGTCGTAGTCTTTAGTTTCACTTTTTAGTCGTATACAACGTTGAAAAAACTCACACAATTCGACCTACCAAATCTATCTGAATGCATGCCAAGCCAAATAGGTGTGCCATGCCATTTCCCTATATATTGTATCCTTTTTGGCTCTTTCTTTTGGGGATTGTTCGTAGTTCCAATTTCCCAAATAGTATTATAACTATAAAACCTCACAAGTCCCACTTTCTGCCCAAATGTAATTTAACATTTGTTTGCCAAAATCTTGACAGCAGCACCAAATCCATTGAGAAACATTATGTACAGTGTCATCTCCAAACTTTTGAGAGTACTGTGCTATGGCACCACCTGTATTTCTCAGAGCCGTCCTAATTACGTACATTTCTTAGATGTATGTATGTATATAAGTACGTATGTTACACGTGTTGCATGAATGGGTGAAATAAAATTCCCAGCCCAGCATAGAATGATGAGTTTTTGGGTAATCTATATAATAACTGCGAGCAATCACGGACAGTTAATTTTTGGAGAGTAATTGAGCATAACACGTGTGATGGGTTATGCAGATATATACTTGATTCAGCTAGGAACAAACATTGCAGTCAATATGAATCATCACAATCACCTGCGTGTGCTTTTGATTTCATTTCATGTTGCATGAGGGCCCAAAAAGCATGGAGTTGTTGTTCTAGCAGTTTCATGTATGAATGGATGCTCTTCAGACATAATTTGCAGTACTTTATCATGTAAATTTAGAACAGCACGCGTGGAAGCAATTTTTTTTGCCCAGAAAGATTAATATGTATCTCGCTGGAAAAGCATAGCAACTGCACGCAGGGGATTTTATATTTAACCAACTCTTATCAAACCCTTAAAAAATACTATTTTGAAGTAGATGATTATTGAAGGGAGTAAGAATCCCCAGGCATATCTGAATTCCATACGAATTACAGACCAAGATATTGTTGCCAAGGAATTAAGACCCAGGTATATCAACACTCCAAATGTGAATGCGGCTACATATATATAATTGAAATTAAAGCCATACATGACTGATATCCAAATAAATAAGGTTTCATATGTCAAGATTTGTCTGCCTGATGTGACTCACTTTCCTTCTCTTCCGTCAATTTATTTATCACTGATTTAAATGATCTGAAAGTGTGAATCCTACTTTGAAAAATTAAGAGTTTTATGAACAGTCGTACTATTTCTCATATTATTAATTGGTTTTATAGTATAGGATAGTACTAGTGAGTGTGAGACACCAATTTTCATAAGCTGCAATATTATCAGTGTAGATTTAAGGCGAACATAAAATGCATTCAAATTAGTGAAAATGATCCATAGAAAATGTTCCAAAGACTGAAAAGTTAGGATTAGAGAAGTAATAACTATATTTAGTAACTCATACGAACACGTTGTGAACGTGTTTTCCATGCCAACATATAATTTTCTACAACTTTCGCAGCCACATAATCTTCTATAAATTAACCCAGAATATAATGTCACAAAGATGTTCATGTTGATGGATGGAAATGGTGAACATATACGCGACAATAGCAAAATTAAGATCTAATTACATTTTACACCTTTTAGGTTTAGGGTGATTTACAAATTAAGCTACGAGATTTAAATTTTTCACATTACTCAGAGGTTTTAAAACTATATAAATTTATGTCTTTGTCTAAAGAATTATTTGAATCTTCATTAAATTGATAACATAATAAGTGTGAAATCCGTAATTGGGTGGACACATAAGCCACATTGTACTGACTTGACTAAAAAAACTCATGGATCAAATAAAGAATTAGTTGCTCAAATAGACATAAATTTGAATTGATACAATTACAAAACCTTATAGTGCAATCTGAGAAAACTGAACCCTCATAACTCATTTTATGGGTTTTTATCACAAATAGTCGCTGAAATTGATCTACTCCATCAAGATGGTCATTGAAATTGAAGTTCAATCGATGTAGTCCCTGAAAATAGGTATCGCAAATCAATGTGGTCATTCTGTTACTATTCCGTTAAAAATTTTGTTATGTGCTGATATGATACATAATTGGATCCCACGAGTCCAATTAAATATTGCCATATGGATTAAAATATTTAAATAAAAAAAATATATTTTCGTATAATTAAAAACTTAAAAAAAAAAAAAAAAAAAAAACAAGGACCATAGCACGACAAATCCAATTCCTACTCGGGTGGTGAATTCGCCGAGTTTTCGGACCTGGATAATGAAGGAAAGAGGCGAAACCAGGCCGAAAATCCTGACGAGCTTTTCGGATTGTTCAAGCGGAATCGAATTCGTCACCGAATTTGAGTTTATTCCAATTTTTGTTTTTGTTCTCGGATTCAATCTCATTGGAGGTGTTGATGGAGCTCTGCGGCCAGATTGCGTAGCACCCGACGCAATTCACCGAGAAGCCATAACCACGTCTGCATATTGCTTAGCGGAAGAAGATGAAAGATCTTTTTTTTTCCTTCAAGTTTTTAATCATATGGAAATGATATTTGTTTTCTATTTAAATATTTTAATCCATATGGTAATATTTAATTGGATTTACGGGACCTAATTATGTGTCACATCAATATATAACAGAATTTTTAACGAAATAATGACGGAATGATCACGTTGATTTGCGATATTCATTTTCAGAACTACATTGATTGATTTTTAATTTTAAATATCATCCTAATCTTAATAGGATGAGTCAATTTCATATACCATTTATGATATTAAAAAAATAAAAAAAAAAGGCCCTTTATTAAAATGAAAGTGAATTACCGTGAGAAATTTCATATACGTGTGTGGTGAAAAATGAAAAATCCAATCTGAATCTTTAAAAACTGAAAAAGTAGAAGATCGTTTTAGAAAGGCGACCCCAATTTAATTATTGTATTGAACAGATGTCGTTCTCCCTTTTTTTTCTTTGTTTTTGGAAAATACATATGTCATTCTCTTTGACGTATATGCGTGCGATAATTAATGCACCGTTGTAGAAAATGTTTAAGATTATGACCTTGACTCCGCGTAATCCCATTTCTCAATCATAGAGTTAAAATCTTCTGCATTTATTTTTGTGTAATTTTTTTTATAACTTTCATAAATTTACAATATGTCAATCCATCGATGATAGAGAATACAAAAAAATTATATACAAAACAAATATAAAATTTTTGAATCCTATTAGCTTCCTTCAATCACGACAACATAAAAATTTCGTCAAAAAACATAAATCTGCTCCGACATGGTACCTAGGTAGGTTTCCATCATTCTGTACCTAACCCAATTAAGGCGTTCTATGATTCGAGTGAACCAAAATTTTTACTGTTTTTAAGGTTTTCTTTTGCGTAGTTAATTACATATATGCATGCAAGTGACTAACAAGTAACAACGACCACTCAAACCTCTTTTCTTTTTTTTTTTTTGTCAAACCACTCAAACCCGTTTTACCTACACATATTTTGTGGTAACTCAACTACAAATTAACCCAATTATTAATTTATTATGCATACTTCCCTCTAAATTTGTCGAGCTAATAATTGGAATTATTTGTGGGCCGTACCCTTGACGAAGTAGAGAAATTAGTTTATGTTTCCCACAATACAAACGGGGAATTGTTATTAACACTTCAAAAATCACATTTTACCCTTCAAACTTTTTATATTAGGAAAGAAAAATACACTTGTGAGGAGTGTAGAATGAGATTTTTGGAGTGCCAATAACACTTCCCTATAAACGACATGGGTCTAACATGACTATCTACATAGAAAAACCTAGCTGCTAGCTAGTGTTAAGGAGTAGGATTCTCTCCTCCTCTATTTCCATCTCCTTTTTTTTCCTCCTCTCTCATATTGTTTTTTGTCTTATTGTCTCTATAAAAAAATCAATATAAGATATTAACGTGGCTAAACCGTAACCGTTTAAATATGAGGGAAGGGGAGAGAGATTAGGGGGGAGGGAAGGTGAGAGAGATTAAGAGGGGAGAGAATTCCCCTCCGAGAAAAACAAAGAAAAATTAATTCATTGTTGACTTGTATTTTAATTTGGTATATTTTTTTCAAACGATATATTTTGTTAGATTAGCCACTGACTGGGTTTGAACCCACCCTCATGTAAAGGCTCACATTTCCACCATTGTGGTAAAAGGCCACTTGCATATTTTAATTTGGTATTGAAGTAGGCAAAAATCCTACTGCTTCTTCCATTTTTCTCTCCGTGTAATTTTTCTTATATTTTAACTATCTTCATCT